GACGTGCGTCTTCTTCAGCGGGCTAGCGCGGCTTTAACACCGTGTTTCCGCTTGCGGTCGCCTGGAGAGAAATCAGTGCTGAGCTAGGGCGGAGATAAGACGCGCCTTGCGTTTCCCACAAGTCAGGACCACGGTGTTCAATTACACTATAACATGCAGCGGCATGGGGGCTTTATCCTAATTTCTTCATCCAATCAGCGATGTTCTTATGGCTGTCGCACCGCTTTCTCCGACTTACGCTCTCAACGACTATGGCTACCGGAAAGGTTTGCTGAATCATTTATCATGGACTGATGACGGACGTTGGCCGTCTGAATGAAGATTCGCCACCAAGCGACAACATCGATGCATTCCCGTTGAATGGTGTTATAGCTGCCGAACACCAATGGACATCGTACAATATCTCCTATATAAATGTACAGTAAACATTCAAATACTTATGTAAGGACAAATTTTAACATCATGTTATACTAATTTCTATGAAGGAAGGATAAAAAAATTTCCCCTTCATTTTCTAAGCCCTACTCTCAGCGGTAGGCTAAAGGAATGCAGCACCAATAATGGCAACTTCTGAGTTTTAACGTGCCAAAACCACGACATGATAGCTATGCGCGCCACACTGCGGGACTGGAGATTAACCTTGTGATTTTTTAAACGTGTGCCTAAATCTAACTGCACGGGCACTTTTGCATGTTGTGACAGATCAAATGCCGCCACCATGGTTGGAAATTGAGCACGTGCTGTTTTTCTTAGTGACGCTGCTCTTTAATCTACGCTCTAAAAAAGAAGTGCCCTTTGACTTTCTTCTTATGCATGTAAGAGTCACATGTGTAGCACTCCATTCGGAGAGTCAACGTGCCTCTATGAAGGGAGTGCTACACACATTGCTCTCAAGTGTATAGAAGAAGAGGCAGATCATTTAAAGTACCCAGGTTATCATCGGAGAAATAACCACCGAGAAATTGCTGAAATTTTTCCTTTGAACGGGTGATATCAGCTTCGTAAGCATCAAGCGTGAATGGAAACGTTTAAGATTCATGTCAAGTTCAGGTTGCGCGTTTTGAAGAGAATAATTTTAAAGTAATTTATTTACCTACGTTTTTGTGAAATACAATGAGAAAATAAAATAGAGGAAAAAAAACAAAAACATAGAAAAAGTTGAGGGAGCAGCCAACGAAGTGTTTCCAAACGTCGTTGTATAAAAATATGAGTGAAGGAACTGGACAGGCCAAAATCTTTTCGTTTTCTTCTCTCGCACCATGTTTTTTTGAAATACAAGCTAAGGTAGATCATCATTTAGCTGTCAATCACAACGGCCAACTCGAAAGAGCTTACGCTGACCACGACGTCACTGAAAAGCTGCTACTAGGGATCTTTATGGTTGAATGCATCTGTCGCTGCGACAGAATCATGAAAATGTGCAGGCTTTTAAAAATAAAAAAATCTTTTTTTTTAAATTGCCTTCGCGAAACATGCTTGCGTCGTTAAAAGGTTTGAAAAGACCTTTCGTGCTCTTTTAGTGCACTTACCAATGTTCCAAACGTCATCGTCTTTGAAGAGTAGGCTTCTCCTCGCTTTGACGCATTGCGAGGTGAAGCACGCTTTACAAAAAAAAAAAAATACTTTGTTCGTAAGTTGGGAGTTTGAGAAGACAGTGAACGTAAACAAATTCAACCGGGAAATAGACTTCACGTTCAAGTAAGAGTAAGCTGTCACATCCGTATGACACCAGTAAACACACAAAACAAATCTTCGCCCAAAACCATTAACGTACGCTACCTACATACCCTCTTCAGCGGTACACTTGAACATAGTTCACAAAACATCAGACCACGTTCTATATCAACCGTATAAAACAACCTGAAAAACGTACTGCAGAAGCTGTCAAAACTAGATATAGACCACAAAAATTGTAGCCAAGAAAATTACTTCTAAAAGGTGTTGTGCCTTAAACGCATTCCTGTTCCATTCCAGTTCAAGTTTTAAAACACCTATGGACGTTCCCATTCAGATTCACATTAAAGGCACAGCTACACTTCATTCCGACCACCTTAAAAAAGACGTCAGTTTAAGTGTCAAAATATTCACATGGGGAGAACACTGAATATTGACAAAATTTTATTAGGGGCGAGTGAAACCTGTACTGCAAGTAATTCGCATTTCACACAATAGCTACACGGAATCTGGACTAATCAGTTTCTCAGAAATGTAAAACAAACAAACAAACAAACAAACAAACAAACAAACAAATATCTTAGAAACGCTAGTTTAACAAAAGTGGCAGCCGAGGAGAATAATGAACAGTTACAACGAAAAATACTCGTGACACGAGTTGGTGTTGCTCTGAGCAACTTGAGTTGCATCGATCGCCTTACGCGCCTCTTACTTTGTAGATAAATAATGAGCAGCCACTCCTAGTAGGTGAATAGGGTGTCGTTTACTGTATGTTTTCTTCTTACCTTTGTTTTTTTCTTTCGAGACACACACTGGCAAAAGCAACATTGTAAAGCGAACGCAGGGTGCATGGGCTTGGCGACCTTGCGTCGAATGCACGGTTCTCTAGGCCGGCAACGCCCTTTTTTTTTGGACCACCGTTGCCGTTACTGCAATGGACGTGCTCCGCTAGAACGGTCACATTTCGTGTACTTTTTTTTCCTGTTTTTACATGTCTGGCGAACTGCCTCAGCGTGACCCATGTTTCGACCAGATTCGTCCGTCCAAATCGGGCAATGCCGGCGGCGAGTGGATGAACGAGATCGCTGGCCCCCACACTACGCTTTCTTTCTTTTGCTTCTGAGATTCGGGAGCCCGCGTCTGGTTCGGCGTTGCTATTGTCCCGACTGGAACTTGCCTCGCGTGTCGAGCGAGTGGTGCGCGGCTTTTTAAACGAGTCGAACACGCTCCAGTCTAGACGCTAGACGGCAAGCCCAGCGCTCTCACCGGACGTGTATGAATCACGCAGGACGAAACGGGCACTTACGTCATGAAATGAGAACTTCACTTTCGAAATCACGCAATCCAGTGCTTCCATGTTTCAGTTTTTTCCTTAATGATGAAGAAAGTGACCTGACATTGTTTATCTCTTTCGTATCTTTACCTCACTGTTGCCAGTTCACGAATAACAGGGACGCGTGGATTTTTGTTGCTAAGCACAGCTCCTTTTTCTTACCCTCACAAAAATACAATACAGAAACTACCATACTTGTGATTATAGTTTGGTGTGTGGTAATTAGAGGAAATGTTTGTACGTAAGTGCGTGCGTGCGTGTGCAAGTGTGCGCGCTCAGTGTGATCGGGCTGTGTGTTTATGCGTGTGCATGAGGAACAACCTTCGACTGGAGTGTAAACTATGCGACGTCGCTGGTGGCAGCGAGTCGCGAATTCCCCACTCTCTAGTTCATTCATTTACTTCCTTTCTTATCGTCAAACTCTCCAAAACAAACAACCAATAAATTTACATCTTACGGTGGGACGCTGTGACCTTCGCTTTTAACACAAAGAGTGGTCAATCAACAAGGAACGAAATGCGACTGCTTAAACTTAGCGGGCAAACACGTTCACTCTTTTTTGCGTCTGTTACGCACCAGGTGTTCATATTAGCATATCCACGTTCTTCGGAAGGAGCTCCGAGCTCTGCAGTAAAAGTGGTTATTCCACACGTTCAGGCCTCTGCGTTGCCTCACTTTTTATCAAAATTCAATAAGGCACCAGAGAAGTTTGCGATTGTCGACAGAGCGTATAAATACTTGTTACGACCATTATGGCAGAAAATACAAGAAAAAACTCAGCCTGTAAGTGTGATAAGCTATACAGAAATATGTATATAGCTAGATGGATTTGTAGAATGAAAATTGATAACAAAAGATAATTTAGAAAGTAAGATTTAGAAAATGAGGAATAATACGAAAAGATAATTTAGAAAGTAAGATTTAGAAAATGAGGAATAATAAGAAGAAAGCAGATCAAGTTAGAATGAAAGAATGAATATAGAAGCAAAATAACTATAACAACCAATAAAAAGAATACAAAAAAGAAAAATTAAAAGCCAGCTAGGCGAAACGCAGAAAATGCTCATCACGCGTGCGAAGTCGGAATTTTCCTTCCCGAGGCACTGACGCAACACAGCACCCCGTGTTTCGAAACTTTTGAAACAAGCCGCTGACGCCAGCCGTTTGGCCCAGACGTGACGAGTGGCGGTGGCCGCCGGAAGGCACCCGGCGGCACGTTCCCTGGCGTAACCGCCTCTGCGTCGCCAGCGGCGTGCTTGGCTTGGCGTCACGACGGCCGGCCGCCATGGCCTGACTTGGCCCAGGCGTCGCCTCCCGCGAAAAAGGCGCTGTTGCGCGGAGGGTCACGTGAACGCGCCTCTCCCCACCACGCTCGCCTCTTTCATTCTCACTCTCTCACAATCTTTCACACTCTCCTTCTCCGGAGGCGCTCTACAGTTTTTCTCAGCTGGTTTGTACTCTGTGTGGGTGTTTTATCTCAAAGCATTGTGGAGGGCCTCTTCCCTGTCGAGCCTGGGGCGCATGCGCGCCAATTCTTGCGGGAGGAAAAAACCAGGGAGCGAGGGAGAAGAATAGGAGCCCGCGTCCTCCTCCTTTTGGGGAAGGTAGTAACGAAACGAAAGGAGTAGCGGAAGGCAACTCCCTTTTGGCTGAGTAAAAAGAGAGAAAAGAAGTGGCGGTAAAGAAAACAAAGTAATGGTTATGGAAGTAATGAAGGCCGCGGAAATTTCGTAAGGCATAAAGAACGGAGATGGAAGAAGCGGGAGCGAAATGAGGGAGCAGGAATGCGTGCGCTCATCTGCTGGAGAAGAGAGGGGGTTCGCGAAGGGAGAAACAGGAGAGAGAGAAAGGAGGCCCGAATCACCGGGCGCATTGGAGGACCCAGTTCCTTACGGGCGAAGCCGGCGGCGCTCCCTGGTGGCGTGCGAACGGGCGCGGGCCTCAAAAGAAGGAGCACGTGGCTAGGAGCGGGTGTCCTCCCGGTCTCCTGTCACAGTCGAGCAGCGGTATCGGTGCTGTGCTTGTGACCCGCGCTTGTGAGTGAACGCCGGTGCGTGTGCGAAGGTCTACTTCTCTGCCCGGCTTCGGTGAGCAAAAAAAAAGTAAGTGTGTTGTGCTGAAACCATGCATGTAGGAGTACCAGGGTTGCCCCTGCAACAACGACGTTGCATCTAGGCGAAGAAGAGTACCGTGTGGAACAACTGCCTTCCGGTGGATTACGTGAAGACGCGTCTAGGCTGCCTGCATCCGGTCTGGATTCGTCGCGTGGTTCGCCTGAAGAAGGAAACCGCCTTTAGTGAAGTTGAACTGCTCGGACCTAGGTCGCCGTTTTCCAAGGTGCTAGTGCAGTTGAGTAGTAGGTGGTTAAGAAAGTGCTCTGCGCTATGGGTTGCAACTTGGGCAAAGGCTCACAGCCAGACGATTCCGAGGTCCGCGATAAAGTCCAATGCGACGTCGCCTCAGACGCCTCCACCGGGCATGCTGGCTGACCGGATGGCCGATGGCGTCGCCATGGTCAACAAGGCTTGCAACGACGTGCAACACGTGTACCGGGAAATAACTTCGGACCAACACCACGACCGGCAAGGTTTGTATTCTTCCTAGCATGTCTGTTTTCGAAGATGAAAGCTATTTCGGGCAACTAGCGCTATCACGTGCGCCGGTTGACTCCGATATCTAATGGTACATTTCAGTGGCCGTTTGAGGGAGTCCTGACCGTGCTTCAAAGTGGTGAATTTAACAGATATAATTATCCGCATCAAAAACAAGTAGGTATGCGAATCATACGCATTGTTCCTGATCATGGAGTGATTCACTTATTTTGGCATTATTCGTCCGTTGCTCTTTAACACCGATTTCTCGGAACCTACGAAGCCCTCTGAAACAACCATGTGAATCTGCCATAAAGTTTTCTGGCGGTTGCCGACGTTCCATGTGGTATATTGAGGCCTATTTTTGCGAAGTATCATCGAAGATGGCGCGCCAAGAAGAACAGAACATGTGAAGTAAGAACGGACTGTTTAATTTTCCTAATAAGCTACACTGGTCATTTCGGACTTAAGCTTATTTCAGAGACAGCCACTCCCTGAACGCAGCCCGAGCCATTAGTATGAAAGTGATATCATGATACCGGTTTAAAAAAATCTTTATTAGAGTAACAAACTCTTGCAGTAGTAGTAAATTCATTAGCGGTCTTAACTGCGGCCGCCAGATTCACAATCACAATCCTATCTGAAAGCCGGGAGGTTGGCGTAAAAACCTCTTGTACTGCAAGGAAGTAAAAGTTACAAGTGGAAAACACGTATTTTCTTTACACTCTGTGTCAATTGTGCGCGAGTTTTCCTGCTTTTTTGCTAAAGTAGAAGTATTTTAGGCGTATATACTATGTCGGGGAATGGGAGGTTGACACCAATCTTGCTTTTTAACTTTAGTTCAGGTAGCGCGAATTCCAGGGTGGCCATAAAAAGACTATCTGCTTTCATTTCAACCGCGTAGAGGAAAATGCAAACGAAAAATTTTTAAACATTGACTTTTCATACTAGATGTTTTTTGTGGCAGGCCTCAAGAGAATTGCCTGCGAAACTCCATTACGGAAATTACGGTGTTTCTTGCGCATGCGAGTCAGTGAAAGAAAATACTTGAAGAAAAATTTTTTAATTACTGCATGAGGATGCCGACCACCTAGTTTTGTGTTCTGCCGTTGTACCAATGCATCAGTAGCCGTTCTTAAATTTGTTTTTGTTCATAGAAATGCAGTTTTTAAGACAAGAGGACGTCCCTTCCTGTCGGACTAGCACTCCCAATCATGTCCTACCGACACACACAGTCTTTTAGGCTCATCAATTCAGATCGGGTCCTGAAGTTCACGATGGTCCATTTTTTTTGTTTCGAAACAAAACCAATACACAGCAATATACAAAGCCACAAGGATGTTTGAAGTCTGCAAGTACAAAAACTATGCGAATTTGTGCACTACCCATAATTACCACGGTGGCTAAACGATCGCAACGCCAGATTCTCCCTGTATTTAAGATTAGGAAACACGATTGTCATGATGTCGTCACGATGGCGTTATAGGGGTGTCGAAAGTTATGGGGACCTGTGATGTCTTGAAGGCGTTATCTGGTGACGCCATCACATATTTTTTTTGCATCACTTGTTGACGGTGCCACCGAATAACACGTTCTCCGCTCATTGAAACATCTAAAGGAACCACCTTAATAATGAACATACCGTCGAACAGGCGATGTCTCAGAAGACCAGAGCCCTCCTTTGCCCTGGCAACAGCTCTTATTTGTCCCCTAACGATCCCTTCATTCCGGCACATTCCCCTGTTGCGCCCTCCTGTGTTGATTGCTGCGTTTGACTAAGCCCGGAAAGCACACGTGTTGCGGAAAAAGCCACCCAGAAAGGCTGCGAGGGGAAACGAATGACGTGTATATCGACGGCCGAGATACGCCCCGCAAAGCGCGGAGTAAATAAGGACGTGGAGTGTGAACACAAATACAAGAAAGAAACAAACAAGCAAAGACGTACGAAGGGTTGGCTCTCCTCTTTTGCAAAAAGACGCATAACAGCTGAATAAGTTGAAGCCAAAAATGGTTACGTTGTTTGAAGAGCAGAGCTGGTGCAAACGTTGCCCGTACCCGGTACACCCCTGAGTGCTCCTGTGTTCGGGTCGGTCTCCGTTCAATACCGGACGTAGTGCTGTTACTTCCTGACCCCTTGGTTCCATGGAGGACAAATACAAGTAAGAACGAAAATGTGAAAACTTGGGACTTCCCGAACGCCTTTATACACCCGCAAAACGAACAGAGTTGCTGTTTAAAGAAATGACACAGCACCACCGAGTTACTGTGCTAAGAAGCTACACTGCAATGCACAACTTTGCAAAAGCCAACCACTGTGGTCACATTTACGGGGACAAATGTTTGCTAATACAGCAGTGCTAGAATTTCCGCTTCGCTTGAACGCCCTTGCGTGCTGCAGATGGTTGTGTACTCCTTCCGAGATTAATGCACAAGCGAACTTGAAATTTCATTTGGGAACGATTCGTTGATAAAGTAAAAAAAACATGAAATTGAGATGCAAGTGAAAATAATAAAATTTACATAAATGAACTAGTGTCTTGTAATACTTGAACTAATACAACAGCGCGCCAGAGATAGCGTGAGATAGGTAGATAAAGAGGAAGAGAGAGATTTTGTCATGTTTTAGTGTCGTTTAGGACTGCAGTGCGAATAAGAAAACATGTGCTAGAGGTGGTTAATTTTGCTCCTTAAATACACTGTTCTGTCCATCGTAAGGTTCTGTCCAGGAAACGTAGTTACACATTGCAACAAGGCAAAAAAAGTTTTTATGAATGATGGTGCAAAAACAAAGACCCCCAAATCTTTCTTTGCTAGAGCGCAGCTCATCATTTTTTATTTTCATTTACAAGCCATACTCCGGCATAAAAAGTGAGAACCGGGAAAAATAGCGAGGTAGAATTAACATCACCTTAAGCTCGTCACAACTGTTGCTTGTCTTGGGAGCAGAAGCACGCACGCACGCACGCACGCACACACACACACACACACACACACACACACACACACACACACACACACCACACACACACACACACACACACACACACACACACACCACACACACACACACACACACACACATGTGGGCAGTTACCAAGATGATATCGAAGTATCAAATATTTTCTTTATGTATAATTTATAAAAATCTACAGAACACAAACACTAATACATATTTCCTTCAGCTCGTGTCAGCTGAAGGTCAACGTTCATGTTGTGTCCATTCTTTCAGAGTCTCGATTTATTTCGCGCTGTTTTGTTTATAGTCGCAATTAAGACTTTAACTACGAGCTGTTGTCGCGTTTGAATCGCAAACCATTTCAAAGTTGCTGTGTTCTTTCACGTTATCTCTACAGTTGCTTTATTATTCTGCGCTAATGCTATCGCACACTTGGTGTGTCGTTGTTGAATAAGGTGGTGCTGTTGAAGTAGGTTACTATGTCCATATCACCGTTTTTGGACAAGCACGAATCTGTTAATGTCCGTTTTGAGTCACATATAAACAAGCAATGTGCTGTTTTCATTGTATAATGCTTTACTCAGGCATCACTAACGCCACCTTTAAGGGCTTAAGTTTGATCGAAGTATTGAATACAGTAGTGATAGCAACCGCCAGATTTTAATTAGGGTCATCAACCATCATTGTAATAACTTTATAGAAGTCTTCACGTCTGAACTCTACTGATTATTCCGATTATCGCGCTCCAATATAATCTCTACCTTTTTCCTTCGTTGCGACGAAGTGAAGGAGATGGCTGACAAATGAACTCGAGCTAATCCTTAGCTCTTGAAGCGATTGAGCATACAACATAAGAACATAAATAAAGTACGATGTGAAAAAAAGAAAAAAAAATTCGGCAGATCCCACGTACCTGGGAATCCACGTAATGCGGAGCATGCCGAAAAATAGTGACCGTGTTGCAATTTTTTTATTGAGCGACACGTCATGAAATGACCCTAAATTAATGTACCAATGTCGCACACACAGACATATGTTGAAGAGTTGCAGATATTTATATAACCAGTTGCATGCACTTACGCAATGATGCCAACTGGAACAAGCGTATTAGCAACACCAGAAGCTGATATCAAGAGCTGATGCTCGCGAAGATGCTTGCCCTGAACACTGCTACATAAATCAACTTCAGCGCATGGCAACTAACCACATCTGACGTTAACCCAACGGGACGGCTGTATCAAAATAGTACATGTTGATAAGATTGGGTAGGCAGCACTGAAACTACTATTAACGTTTCACGAATATTAGCGTGTATTTGAAAAGTAGTTGCGAGACCTGGCGTAGCTCTGTGGTAAAATGGTTTATTGGCACCCAGAATGCTTGGGTTTGATTCCAGCTGGGAATCGTCGGGTTGACGCTACCGATGTCGGGTATTTCTTGACACTCGCGCGTTAAAATTGCCCATGTGTGTTCTCGTCGTTCCTAAGCAGATACAAAGTGTCAATCACCTGTGGCACATTCCCACATACCAGTGGCACATACCCGCCTGTGGGTATGTGCCACTGTCTGATGGGAAGTGTTTGACGACGTACGCGACGGGATTGTGACATTATTCATGTCTTGACAAGCGCGTCGTATTCGTCAAACCATCTTACCTTCTCATGCCAATTTTTGTTAACGCCAAGTAAATGGGCTTACCACGAGACCATCCAAACGTAAGCGGCTAGGTAGATAGATAGTTATATAGATAGATCCGCTCAAAATCGCCGAAGTTCACTAAGAAATGCTTCGCATTTAAAAACGCGTAAGCACAGATATACCATTGAACACTACCACAACGCAAGATAAAATGCCCAAAATTTAATTAAGAGCGTTCTTATTAATGTTTCTAGTCATCATAGAAATGAATCCTCGCACGGAGAGGGAGAGAGGATTCATTAGAGAACACAGAGGTTTCCACCTGATACTCTGTGCAGGCAAAAATTGAGAAAATCGTCGGATAAACCTAACGCTCAACACATCACGTATAGCTGCGCCTTG